TTTCCTTTGTAAGGTTTAATCCTCGATACGTGACAGAAGACAATGGCATAAAAACATCCCCCTCACTAAATTCCTTTAGCTCTGGGGGTTATTCTGCAGAGTCTGCTGTTTGTGGTGTGGGATAGTTGTGATGAGACTAGAACCCAGCACAGCCTAATAGATGTGGACCACAGGAGCTAGACTGTAATGTAGATGTCAAGGATTTGGGGGTGGACTCATGAGGCTTATTAGTTTTCACTTTCTGTGTTTTACGTTTTGAACACAGTGCTGTTGCTGTGGGTCTTGAGGCAAATAGTCAGTCAGTGGCAGGTGTGGAACTTCTTCATACCTGTGTTCTCAGACATCATGGTCCAACTGCACTTGGTGAAACTGAAATGGGGCTTTTATTTAGCAACTATTTAAAATGAGGTATTTCTGAAAATGTAATCATTCACACTTGCACCTTGCAGAATTTCATGAAACACCCACTGCTCTTCTGATTTGGTAGAAATTCACATGACATTCAGTTCAAACCAGGCGTGTTTGATTTTAATGAGTTTCTCAAAAGCAGCAGCACACTTGGTAAAGAAGATAATTTATGACAGCATGGCCAGGATAAAGATTAAACTAGTGGATCTTAACATGAGTTCTGTCCTTATATTCTGGCTTTTCTCAGTTTTAATGGCAGTTGTTAGCTGTGGCATGTGAGACATAATGTCATTCTTGCTAATAGAGGGGGCTCCTTAGCTTTAGTCCTGTTTTCACCAGGAGAACCTTCTGTGCTGAGCAGGAGCCCGTTTTCGGAGCATAGTTCTTCTACCTGTGTTTTCACCGCAGGATCCAGATTTGGTATATGTTAACACATGTGGTAATCTTACAACTCCACTGCTGAGCATCAGCAGGCTAATTTGTTTAATCTTCTCTGGGCTCTGGTCCGGCTGTCTAAACACATCACAGTGCGCTCGATGGACATTTACCCCAGGGGCAGTTCTTTGACTTTAATTCCTGGGAATAAAAGGCACTTTACGGTGGAAAAGCAGCTTTTGTGTTCACTCTGAATTTATAGTGTCATGTTTGCTTTCAAGTAGCATGATAGTTTGTTTCAGTCACTGTCATGTACAGTACTTAACTAAACTATTGTTCCCTAGTATTCTGATGGTATTGTAGGTAGCTGTTTGCAGTATTCATATTGTTAGATGTAATTAACATCACTGAAAACTGATGTATCTGTTGCCATTCATCATCTCTCTGCATGCCTCCTGTCCTGATGTTCTCATGGCCTAATTACACCAGTTACAAGAAACAAGTAGAGAAATGTATTTAAGTTTTTTTTTTTTTTTGTATCTGTATTGGAAGAGTTTTTTGTTTTGGGTTTTTTATTTTATTTTATTTTTTATTTTTTTGCAGACATGTTATTACAATGCATGTTTTGAGCCTGTGACCTTTGGTTTCTGCTTTCTTCCTGAATTTTTGCCTTCCCAGCCACATTGCTGATGTCCCCTCATCTGTTGAGATATTGGGCTGTGGCCACTGTGTCATGTGCTTTTGCAATAACACAGGTTGTTTACTGAGCTCTATCTTGGGCAGACACACACCTCTTTATGGTTCTGTGTGGTTTCCATTGCCTGGAACTTCATACCATTTTGATGGATTGGTCATGAGACATTTCCTAGTCAGTGAATAGAAACCGGTTTTACCGAGGTGGCGTTACTGGCTGAATGTGTGGTTTTGATCCTCTCAGGCCCAGGTGGAATCCCACCCAGAGGCCTGCTGGGAGATGGCCCTAATGACCCCAGAGGAGGAACTCTGCTGTCTGTCACTGGAGAGGTCATCGACCCAAAGTAAGAAATTCACACACATTAATGCAACAGGCTGTGAGGAGTGTCAATTTAAGCTTTAGGGGCTGTAAATTGACCATAAATGGTGTCAAAAACAGGGTTTGAATCTAAAGAAAATTGTAAAATATAAGACTTGAATCTTTTATGTGACTGTACTGGTTTTATTAAAAAAAAAACTGAATTGCTCTTACTTAGCCGGCCTTACATGGCAGCTCCGCCACCTCACCAAGCCCCACCCGTACACATGGCCCAAATGGCAAGTGGACCCCCTCCAGATATGAGAGTGCCCCCAATGGACATAAGAGCCGCACCCATGGTTGAACCACGAAGCATGATGGGAGACCCCAGAGGGCCCCCGATGATGGAGCCACGGGCACCTCCAATGGAAGCCAGAGGTACTGCTGCTCCAGAGTGTGACAACCGGAACAAAGTGTGAACTCATTTCTGTAACTTGGTTCAGTGTCAGGCCCAGCTGGCAGACAAACAAGGGCTTGTCTAATATGACACTACTGTTTTTGTGTTTCCATAAAACACATTTCCTTACATTCAGTACCTTCCTAGGGTTTTTTTTTTTTTTTTTTTTAAAATGTGCATGTCAAGATGTTTCTAGAAAACAGTGAAGCATTTCTCATTTACAGGCACATTTCTTTTTAAATTTGTGGGTTTTAATGTTTTATGTAGTGCTCCAAACAGTGCATTTTTCAACACACTTGTTCTTAATGTACACTCCAGTAATTCCTTGAATATTCAGCAAGGTGTGAGCGGCCACTGTGGTTTTGTACCTTTGTGCAGGTCGTGACCCAAGGGCGATGGACGCCCGTGGACCTGTGAATGCGCAGAGGGTTCCCATGGGAGCAATGCAAGGCCCTATTCCTCACAATATGGGTCCAAACGCTCCTCCACCTGCAAGACCGGTAACGTCTGCTGCTTTCTTTTTTTTTTATCAAAAGATCTCCCCATTATGCTTTATAACTGCCTAACTGTGAATAATAACAGACTACCTCATAAACATAGTTTTATTTATTATGGTGAGCAGTTTTTATAGAAGAGTCCATCCAGATTTAATCTCAGAAGGAACTTGAATATCTCGTCTTGATTCATCAGTTATTACACTATAAAGACTGGTTGAATAAACATTAGCTTCACATTACGATAAAAACATTGTAAAAGTTGTGTGAACATGACTTGAGGAATGAAACTTGCATAAAGATAAGTGCTATCTGATCATATTGGTTAATTGTTACCCTCGTAATGAACAGTGTAAACTCACAGCGCGTGTCCTGCAGGGTCCTGGTATTTCTGGTGTTCCTCCATCAGGAGGAGGCTTCAGCCCGGGGCAGAGCCAGGTCTCCACACAGGACCAGGAGAAGGTGGGTGTCACTTGATCTCTCATCCCTGGTTTATAGCGCACTGGTCCAAGAGTCAGGAACTATGACAGTGTTTTAAAAGGCTTATGTCTGTTGCCTGGGTGTAGACATGCACACAGTAACGCAAATAAAACAGACCTTTACGGTAATCAGCTGTTAAGCACAGAGTAGTTGTGTATGAGCAACTTGTTGGACTGGCTCAGAGTAAAATGCTGTGACATTCTTAGAGTCTCACTGATTACAAGTTCCTCAGTCTGAGCGGGAAAATAGGAGTTGTGTAATGCAGTAGAATTTGTTTGACTCAAACAGTAACTGGTGCAGTTTGAACACAAAGGCCTTTTTAAACCTTCATTTTACCAGGAAGTCTCATTGAGATCAAGATTGCTTTCTCAACGGAGACCTGGCCAAGATGGCAGCCATACAAATTTACAGCATATTAAAATTCAACATGTTCAATATACAGGAATTCCACTCACATGATAAAAACAGTGGATCATTAAGGTGTTCTGATTTCCTTGTCACCAAAAACCAACAGATTATTTGTTTTACCTCACAAATGACAACTTTCCTATTTTGTCCTAGGCTGCCCTAATCATGCAAGTCCTGCAGCTGACCCCAGAACAGATTGCCATGTTGCCCCCGGAGCAGAGGCAGAGCATCCTTATCCTCAAAGAGCAGATTCAGAAGACTGCGAGTGGGGCACCCTGAAGGTCTGACTGAGGGGAAAACGCCAAAAAGCAGAGGTGGAGTTTTCTGTTCTGACTGGAATTTTTAAATGGATGAAACACTGTTGAATTGTCATGGAAGAACTTGTTTTCCTCCCTTACATTTACACAATTCATTTTATTTCAGGACTCAAAGACGCCGTCACCTTCAGCTTGAACCAGTCTGAAGACGTCTCATCATAGTTTAGGATATTGTATAGTTATGTAAATCATAGTCTGTTTTCTTGTGGATTCAAACTTGAGCAAAAACATTGAGAGGATGATGGTGTTGAACAGAGATAAAGGCCGGTGCTGGAATGTCATGAGATTTCACTTGTTTTCTCCTAATGACAACCGTTTTTATGTTACCAGCTCTGGAAACTTTGGATATTGTTTTGTCAATAAAAACAAAAGCCATTGATTACTTCCCTTCATTTATTCAGGAGTCTGGATTGTGTACAAGAAAAGTCATTTAAAAAATACCAATTAACAATTCCAGTAACTGAAACACCTTCCACACCTTTCAATAATTAACTGAATTACTTTTTGTTTTCATTTCATCCTTCAGACAAGGAAATAATTGCTGGTTCCAAGAACCCAGTGTCCTGGCTCACAGCAGTCTTATTTCCTTAACAAGTGAAGCACAAAGAAAACAAACTGTACACTAAGAAGTTAAACATTTTTAGAACTCTCAGTAGTTATTGTAGCCTGTAACACATTCACATGTATTGTAAGAACACGTTATTTACAGTTTTTGACCAGAAGAAAATCTGTGCTGAAGGGAAGACGTATTAACGCTGAAATATGCTGACTCTTTGCTGTTAAACAAAAGCTTTAGCTAATGCATATGTTGAGGAAAAATGTATGCAGATCCCCAAAAAAAGCTTCACATTAGGTGCATAGGTCAGCACACAGTACTAGTGAAGTAAAAAAAACAACCCACACATTGATTTAATGCTCCAAAAATTGTGTTTATTTAGGCCAAGCTGCCATGGCAGCAATGACATTTCAACAAGTCTTCATCAGGTATTCACTTGATGTTGAAACGCCATCGTTGCCGCGGCAGCTTGGCCTATATCATTTTTGAGAGCGTTGCATCAATTTGTGGTCTTAAAGAGCAAATAAACTATTTTGATCAGTGCAGTTTTCATGAGGTGAACAACGCTGGTTCCATAACACTCAATTTAAAGACAATAGCTTTGATTTTTACTACCGTCTGACATCCAACACAAGAAAATAAAGCAGATTATATGATGAGAAATGATCATTAGCTGCTATAGTAGTAGTAAATTACCATACGAACAATATCTGAAACAATATTCAAATACATACTGTCTTGATGCAAAAAAAAAAAAAGGTTATACAAGGAAGTAACAAGTTTACTATAACCTTGAGGTCCAGCTGTTTCCCTTACAGTCAAATTCTTCCTTCAAGTCATCAGCCATCAGGAACTGGCAGGGCCTCACCAGACATGCAGCTTAAGGTTGTTGATACACGGGTGTAACTGGTTTTATAAACCTGAATCATGATCTAGTCTTGATTAGATTGAAAGACGAGGTCAAGTCACTTCCTGAGTAGCGCTGCCACAACATCCATACATTTTTACCAGTGCAATTTGTTAAAGCACACCCAGCTTAGTGCCTCAAGTCTTCAGACGACTGTCATCGTCGTGTTCGGTTAATCTGTAGTGAAAGAAAAGCTGCCGTCGTTTTGTCTGCTCAGAAGTTCTCCTTGTTGAAATAAAATTTGGTCCTCCGAGGATCCACGTCTGAGAATTTGGCACATTTCTTTTCCAAGACTTTTGCTAGAGCTTCAGGGCCGCACAAGAACGTTCCCACTGCAGAACTGAAGAGAAAACGAGATCGAAGAGTTCGATTAAACAGCCAGTGGTGGAGAGTAACAAACTACATTTACTCAAGTTCTGCGGTACTTGTATATTGAGTACTTACATTTTCTGTAACACTTAAAGTCCCGTATTTAGTTTTACATTTAATACATAGTTTCTAGCACACTATATAGTTGTAACCTGATAAGGACATTTGTATATTTAATGTACAATATTTGACAATTTGACATACTTTAGTATGATATGAGGGAATTAAAGATGTTTAAAGGATTTCTAAAAGGGGGATTTTATCTTACGTGGGGTTCTCTTTGCGGACTTGTTCAAACTCCTTGTCCCAGATGGGTCTGCCGTAGTGCGTTTTCTGTTTGAGCCCAGTGATCACATCCGTTTCCTTATCGAAGTGAACCATCACATGAGTAGTCTGTGGTGAAATCGGGGGGTTTACATATTACAGCCGAGTTTACATTGAAATTACTTTACACTGTTAATCTGGACTTTGGTGAGTGAGGCCTGAGTCGCACACTCACATGGCTTTGATCCCATCCTGTCAGATAGAGTTTGTAGGTGAGGAAATCCCCCATGCCTCTCTCCTCCATCTCTTTCTCCAGCACCTGCAGGAGGTCAGCGAACCACTCAAAGGCATGTGTTTCACGGCAGAGCCAGTAAAAGTAAATCTGTAACCAGGAAGCAAATGCAGGAGTGTTAAACAGTGATCTATTTACAGCTGATCACCCATTACATTTCATTTAAGAGACAGTAATGGGTCCTGTCTCACACCAGTCACATGCAGCAGTCTGTCAATGTGATGTCAAAGGATATATAGGTTTAACTGTGAAAAGGAGACTGACTGGCACATGATGTGGGTGTTTGGGTTGTTACCTTTCTAGTGCGCAGCTTTGGGTCGGAGTCCTTGAACTTGTACCAGATGGACTTGAGGATGGAGGCAAAGGGAGTGACCCCGATGCCAGCGCCAACCAGCATGCTGACCTCGTAATCGAATACGTCCTCGCTGGCTGTGCCAAAGGGTCCGTCCACGCCCATTCTGGGGAAACAAACACTGCGTTATCATGGCTAATTAACTACAGATGACAATCTAAGCATGATAAAGTCAAAAGTAACTCACAGGCTGCAAATAGTGAATGAATGTGTGAAAACATGCACTCACCAGCCACTTTTTGTATGAATTTCCCTCCAGATCAATCAAGTATGTAATTCAATGCAACACTCTGCCTTAACATCTGTGTTTATGAAGATCAAAATGTTTGTTTTTGGTGAAACTGTCAAATGTATAAATTGAATTATATGTTTATTACTGAGGTAATAGTTAAAGGTGGTGTACTGGGCTACATCATATTCATATAATTCAATTTATACATTTATGACAATTTCACCAAAAAAACAAACATTTTGAGCTTCATAAACACAGATGTTAAAGCAGAAGTGTTGCATTGACGTGCATACAATTGTACAGGGGTGCCTAATAAAGTGGCTGGTGAGTGTTTATATCCATATGCATATGACAGATTACAAACTTCATGTAAGCTGGTGTGCAGGCTAGCATAACTATACAAGCTCATAAATATAATGCACGCCAGTCATTTCTCAGATGGTTCATTTCAACCTGTAATCACTATTCCTGTTTATATTTGGCCTTGTTAAAGGCACGGATGATTTGGCCTCACGTTTTCCTCTTTGTCTGGCCTGAAGTTCAAACAAGTTCAACACTGATTTTGGAACACAGAAGCTAAGAAAAGGGGCATTTATTTAGCAATGGACCAATGCCACATATACCACAACACAATATTTAAACACTGCCATATGATGAAGATTGTATGATATGATCCAAAGCCCAGGCACAACCAAATGGATCTTGTGATGACATTTTTTCTTAAATCAACTAGTTGTCAAATGTTGGCTTTATCGTGCGCAACTGCCACACCCATTTTCATACCTAAAAACTAGTAAGGTAACAACTGCCATCTAGCAATAGTAATTAAGTCCTTCAAATTTGAAAAAGACAAACCCGTGGGAAACCTTCTCCAAGAAGTGTTTACATTAATCTTATCTAGCCTTGCATTATTTTTCTAATTGTGGGTCAGGATACAAGGTTGGCAATCCTACAAATAATACCAGTGAATGAAACAACCAATAATGAGAAGTTGTACATAATACTTTATACTACATCAAATGTTTGGAAGAAGTACTCACTTGGGTCCTTGTGCTCCCTCAGGTAGCTGCTGCATTATGTCGATGAGCTTGTTGGTCCAGTCCCCAGCCGAGCGGATGTGGACGCTGAAGAAATCCTCCTCGGGGGCAGAGGTCATGGTGAACGGGTGCCACTCCAGCTGAGAGATTGCCGGGCAGTTACCAGCTGCAGCTCCAGCACTTTGGAAGGTCGCATCACGATCTTAGAGCAAAAACAAACAAACAAACAGACTGTAAGTGACAGTATCGTCAGTTGCAAAGCAACTCAGAGGCCAACACATAAATGGCGAGTCAAACGTACCTTCCTGTAGGTCACTTTCTGCATGTAACGAATGAAACGCAGACAACGCTCACACAGATACAGAAACATTGGACCGATCACCCACATCCAGGTCTGGAAAAAGCAGAGAAAATACAGACAACTGTGATAATTAATAACTCACTGGCGAATCTGTTTTTAAACTGGTATTTGTAGTGATTGGGTCATTTGAGGAAAAAAAAAAAAAAGATGTACCTGTGGGAATCCCCCTGCAAACTGAGGGATGGGACACTCAGGAAGGGTTCCCCAGTCATCGCTGCGATCTTTACAGTAGCTCACATTGTGCAGAGGATTTGTTCGCTGTTGACTCCTCACGATGCGTCTGTAGATAAGACACCAGTGAAACCAGCTTGCAACCACATTCCAGTAGAAGCAGTGAAAACAGACCTTTTCCCTTACCCAGCTCCATGAAAGACGAGACCAGCGAAGAAAATGATGAAGAGATGATGCGTGTACCAGAAGACTTCGAAATAGTTGCGTCTGATGACCTCCATGGAGGAGGTGATGATGAGGATGAGGGCCAGAGTGATGATGACGCCTGTGAGGCCAGCGATGGAGCTAAAGGCAAAGCGGGTTGGAATCTGCTGTGGATCCTGAGGCACAAGAAGAAGAAGAGAGGGTCAGTGAGGGCACATGAGCTTTTAGGATATGGAATCTCTGCTGCATTTGTCTCTTTTGCCTGCCAGGTATTTTGGCATTTCAACATGAATCTGGGAATGTCTCGTGGTGTTGGTCCAGACTAAAATATCTCAACTACAATTGGTTGAATTGGCACAAATTCATGTACAGACATTCATGGTCCCTGATTTTTCCTTAGGCTTCACCTTTAGGTTGACATGTTTTGCTTTATGATGACTGAACAACTTAGTACACACGTGTTCCCTTTGCCCTCCTTTATCGCCACAATCAGGTAAAAAAATTCAGCAGTAACTTTGTAATACCTGGAAAACCTAACGGTCACATCAATCTCAGCTGTACCATTATTAGCAAATACTAGCATGCTAACAAATGAGACTACAATGCTATATGGTAAATACCAGCATGTTGGCTCAAACTACCACTGTGTGTAGCTTCAGTAAATAAAAAAGTATTTCTGCTTTAGGATGCTTTTCTACTTTAATTCCACTATTTTTTTAAATGGAGAAATGTCACTTTTACTCTATGATGGCTAGTTTGTGTTTACAGCTTGTTCTTAGATTCAGAATTGATATTCTATGTGTAGATGACCGTATAATCTTTCAACTGACCTGAAAACAAAACTACACAAACAGCAAAAAACAAGCCAAAAAAAAGGGGCTTAAAAGCAGGACAATCACTGAAACTGGACATGCAATGGGATTCTAATTTTGAATCTCCACATTTATGAATTTTCCTTATTTCTTTATGGTGGTTTCACAATAATAAGCTGATGACTTACAACGTTTGTTATGCGGACTGGATTCAAGTAGGAAGTGCTGTTTGTGTCCTCCAGTTGGGACAAAATAGTGCTGAGCTCATCATAAGCTCCTTGTCTGCTGTTGTTGAGCCACTCCACGTTCAGCAAATGGGCAATGGTATGAACAGCTGTCAGAGCACAGATAGGAGTATGGGTAAGTACTTGTAAAACAAGCTCTTAACTGAAATATAATACAAGCTTAAATGTTGATAACGAGTTAAAAACAATGTTCAGTAAAATTTATTAGGCTTACCAATTATCACCTTTGTCAGAGTTGCCTAAAATATCTGCCTAGGACAGGTAAACCCAAACCTTTTGCTGAAATGCATTCAAGTGAGACTGCACGGATCCCTCACCTGTCATTAGTGCTATCATGTACCCCACCAGCTTGTGAAAAGTCAGATTTTTGTCCAGTTGTTTCCTCAATGTTTTACTGCAACACTGAAAACACAAATAAAGAAATTAAGAGGAATGTAGCTTTCCAAAACAGCAAACTATCTGATCTGTGTCAAAGACAAGGTAGTACTACGGCGCTGATTAGTCAGATATGATGTTAAAACACAAAGATAATACTCCTCTTTGTTTTACAGTTTTAATGTGCAGAAATAGTGAGACACACAACAGTGGAACTGGTTTGCAAGACAATGTGAATATACTGGCAGTGTATTTAGTGCACATCACCCTGCAACAGCTTACCATGAAGGAGCCTCGGATCAGAGACAGCAGATTTCTGCATACTGGGAGGAGGATTAGCATGCAGTTGAAGTTGAGTACAGCTGCAGGCGCTCTGGCCCAGGGTAAGCCAGACTGAAACAACATACACATGCATAAGAATCTGACTTAAAAAAAAATAAAATGAAATCAGTGGAGGAAAGTAACTAAGTACATGTGTTCAAGTACAGTTTTGGGGTACTTCTACTTTGAGTATTTCCATTTTATGCTACTTTAAACCTCTACATTTCAGAGGGAAATTATATTTTTCCACACACTACATTTAAAGTCTCTAAATGTTTTGACTTCGCTGCTTACAAAACACCTGTGTGGTGCCTTGTAACATTTCAAATGTCTGAGCTGTTGACAGTTCCACCAAAGAGAGACTTTCATACGGTGTCTTTTATAGAACTGTCCAAGGCGAGGAAGGTTTATTTATACAGAACATTTTCATACGCAACAGCAATTCAAAGTATTTAACACAAAGCACATCAAAATGCATATATAGATAAAGAAGTAGCAACATGCTTGAGTAGATACCTAGTACATTTAGGATAGCTGTGGCACACTGTGGATTCTCACTGTTCTCAGTATACTTTACTTCAGGCCTCCCAAGACTAACCTCCGAGTAATTTAACAGAGGCGGGGGTACTTCCAGAAAATTTGAAACATCGGTGTCTATACAGTCAGCTACACAGCACAATGAAGGTCAGTTGGTTACTGGGTAATGGATAAAAAATAAAAGTAAAAATAGAAGCAGATAAAGTATAGGGTGGAATTGAGAAAAATGAACAGTCTTTAGCTTGCTTTTAAAAGTGGCTCCAGTTGGAGCAGACCTAAGTTCTACTGAGAGCTGGTTCCAGCTGTGGGCAGCATCATGGCTAAAAGCACTTTCTCCTGGTTTAGTTCAAACTCTGGGCACCGTTACCTGCCCAGTCCCTGCAGATCTGAGACGCTTACCAGGCTTGTACTCAGCAAACATAGATCTATTTTGGACCCAGACCATTAAGAAACTTGTAGACAATAAGTAGGACCTTAAATTGAATTCTGCATCTAACTGGAGGCCAGTGCAAAGATCCAAGGACTAATGTGTTCTAGCACCAGCATTTTGAATGGGTTAGTTAACTGATGGTCTCACTGGGGAGGCCAGTCAGTAGTGTATTAGTCTACCCTAATAGAAACAAAAGCATGAGTGAGCTTTTCTAAATCCTGCTCAGAGGTACCACAAGGTCGGAGTTTTCACAATAAAACAATGTATTGGAGAAAAGAAACGCACATTTCCTCAAATTGATAAAACTAGCTCTAATCATTTCTGCATTTTGCTGACACTTGCATTAGTACTTTTATTGTTGGAAAACTCTTGAGCATTTCTCCTCTGCTCCATGAAAATAACGAACAAATATCTAAAATACATTTGCTGAAGTGTTAATTGTTTGCGTACTCACCGATAAGAGATGACGCGTGTAGAAAAACTGATCCCCCAAATCGTACGAGAGGTAAAACCAGACAAAAATAAAGATGTTGATGCCCATCCAGGCCACCTGCAAACAGCCACGGTCAATAACGCACACTTTCCTATGAACAATACATTTTAATGTTAAATCATAAGTCTTCGTATTGAAGCTTAAAAGTTTGGGCGCTCGGCATTTAGCGCAAAGCTGTAGGTAAACTGTCCTTGTTACCGTTACTTCTCTTTACCACTTGCGAAATTAAACGTGTGAATGTTAATAACTCACCAGTATGAAAGCTGAAAGTCCATTGTTGACGATCCAGTTACCCATATTGAGCACTAGCCTTCTCTCTCGCAACAGTTTGCCTGCATCTTCAACCTACCCGTACTTTCTATTTTATACCCCCCCCTTCGGACTCCACCTCCTCCACAGGTACAGGTGATGAGACACAAGGACAGCAAAACAAGGACAAATTGCGCCGTCAGGGAAGTTTAGAGTCCCTGGATCTGAAAGAACCTGAATCTCAGGTTGTAAAAAAAGGTGTGACTGACAGGAATGAATTGTTGTCTTGCACCATACAGGAACATTTAGTTTCCTGTACGGTGATGCAACACCTTTTATTATTTTATTAATGTTTTATTGCATGTGAGGTAATGTGCAGTGTGTAGTCATGTCTTATTTAAAAAGGTGGAGAATTAACGTGAAGACAGCAGTTTATTTTATTTAATTTTCAAGTAATGCAGTAATAAAAGGCACTGATCAAACAAAACAAAATGAAATGTGAAGCACAATGTTGATTCAGTGTCAGTCATGAGTGTATCATCAGATTTAACTTTAAGGACACAACTGATATTCCCTTAAATCTTGTTAGAGTAGTAGAATATTCCCCTGGCTTCTCATCTTCCTGGTGTATTTTACCATTTCTTCCTCTTCCTTTGTTAGTTAAAGCGAACAAACTGGAAAGTGAACAAAGCAGCTGGGTATAATGTAGGCTACTGCAGATGCAAACGTGTGCAAATGGGGCATTCGTGATGGGAAAACCCTGAGAGGAAGTACTGTAAACTAGGGGCGGTCTTTCGGGCACTTCGGACCCACTTGGCACGTTTCCCATACACCTGGCTCAGACCTGTACCTGGTCTACTGTTGCTCTCTGAAGGCCGCCTTTGTGCATCGCTGCATATCTCAGCATGCTACATTCTTTGGTATCAGGGCCTTGTAGTGCCCTAACCATACGTAGTCATCCTCGTTAAAGTCGTCAACCTAAAACTTTCAGAACCACGAATGAGTAAAGGTTTTTGCAAAAGTTGATTCTCCAACACATCACCTCGCTTTCCCCCAAAACACCAACTCTTTCTGGTTTTTGCTCAAGGCCTCACTCAGGAGTGCACCTTGCAAAACCAGCATCATGCTTCACTATTCCATTTCTACATTAGAAAAACCTGAGTTTGTTCTTTTGATTCCCTATAAACTTCTCAAGCTGCTTCCATCATGTCCTCAAGAATAGCAGTCTCCCGCTCCCCCAGCTGACTGGTGAGGTCAGGGGGGTGTGCATTTTGAGAGTCCAATGGCTCCTCAGGGGCCAGCACCATGGTGGCAGCGGTGGAGTACGAGAGCGGTGGCTTCCCTCTCCTTCCTGCCCTCCCTCTCCCCTTACGACAGCAGACGCAGTGCAGGCAGTCATGGACGTTGTACTTGAAAAGTCTTCTGCAGGGGTGGCAGAACTGGTAGAAGAGCAGCATGAAGAGCACGGCCAGGCTGTAGCAGACCAGCAGCTGGACGCCCAGTAGCGGTGCACACACATACTCGTAGAAATCTGACTTGAAGAAGTACCAGAGTGCAATGAGGAGGAAGTTCTCAATAAAGCGTCCACAGTAGTACATGGCCAGGCGGTTCCAGCGCTGCTTCCTCTCGATGAGCTCTCGATGGGAGAGGTCCAGCTGCACCCCCGACCAGCAGAAGATGTTGATGCAGGCGTAGAGTAATGTGATCATGCACAGCACCACTGTGGTGCCCAGTTTAGAGAAGTTTTTCTCTACGTTCTCAGGCAGCGAGCCTTTCCTGGCCCAGAACTCAGCCCAGGGGAGGAAGAAGAAGAAGAGTAGGTTAACCATGCCAACAAGGATCACCCAGTATGTCAGCGCCGTGCTGAAGAGAACCAGAGCTGTGATCCGCGTGGCGATCTCCAAACCCCTCCACACGATCATGCACAGGTAGGCTGCAAGACGCACCCGCACTTTGTAGTCATCGTATCTGATATGAATGGCCAGAACGCTGCACACAAGAGCCCCGTATGTGATGGAGATCAGGGTGATGATCATCAGAGCCACTGTGAACACAGACGTCACCTGTTACCCTTCAATAACAACAGCAACACACCACTTTTCAATAAAGCGCTGGTCATTAAAGTCAGCCTGTATAACCTGTATCGCCACAAGTTATTGGTGATTTCTAAAACAGTTGGTGCCCATACTCTCACTTTAAGGCTCTTGTGTCCAGAAAACCCCATATAAAGTCAAAATAAAGTTATCATCTTCTAATTCATTTAAGTCTAGTGTAAAACAATGAGCTTATAATCCTAAAGACAACCAAATGTAAATCCTTGATATGGAAAATTATGAAAAACATCCACTTTCCTGGTCTCAGCACTTCCTTTTTACCCTGTACTAGGCTGTCATGACATGACCCTCTTCCACAGATCTCCCACCTTTTATCTGATTGAGTGAAAGAAAAATAATTAACTAGGTTATGAAGTTATTTAAACTCTTCTACTCTTAATGAACTGCATATACATACACTAAACTGGCAATTGCATTTAACTTTATTTGTATAGTATCAATTCAAAAAGATGAGTCAGAGAATTTCATCATTTTAAGATGTGTAGAGGTACTGCAACCTCACCAAGGCTAAAAATCAGGGTGCAACCTTGTGAAGCAGTGATCAACAGTGATACCCATGCTGTGGAACAGTAGCTTGAACCCCAGTCTCTCAACCACTCTTACATCTTGTAGGGAGGATGTATTTTTCCTGGATGGTGGCGTACAGCTGGAGCGTCAGTTGAGGCGCTGAGCCCAGAAAAGCCTGGATGACCGCTGTGCGCTTGAAGGCGTTTCTGTGTGTGGCCAGGTTGCGCTCCGACTGTCCGATTTCCCACTCCATGGGTCTCTCCTGGCCCTTCTTCAGGCTGATCTTTCTGGAGATGGTGACATAAGGCTCCTCCTTTTTACCTGCCTTGAAATAGACCACCAGCGCCTCGAAACACCTGAAGAAGAGAGAGCAGAGTGAGAGCGGAGTCGTATTTTCACACCAACAGAGGGCAGTGCAGCGTTATGTTTAAGCTGCAGGGCAGCACAGTAGGATGTTACCATGTCTTTTTTAACATGAACATTTAATCATCACAGTGTGAATATGTTAAAAAGCTACAAAGCAAATATAAGTAAAAGGAAAAAGTCAAGGGCAATGTATCAACAACTTGTTGCTGCAGGTTATTGTCAGTGTAGAAACTTAGATATTCAGGTATTAGTCATGCACACAATGTTCTCTTATGTAAGGGATCCATCATAAACACACCTTCTTTCTTGTAAAACTAAACAATCACAAGCACGGTAATGATAAGACTCCACCAGAGGGCAGTCAGATTAAAGAAAACAGGTTCCACCAATGCTTGAGAGGAGAAACTGAAAAGCTCTGGGTGTGGTTTCCTTAATGTTTGCAGGTAAATGCTCTCTGTGTTCTGTCTCCACCATCGTAGGTGTATGAGGGCTGTGTACATCGAAGAAAGTATCTAAATCTTAAAACAAAAACATAATGAGGTATTAGAAAATTGGAGGATTTTTACATTAAAGCAAAAATGTTGAGTGTTTAAGCTGCAACAAAGAAGCTACCTAAACCGAAAGTGCAAGGTTTCCATCTGCTGCCAAGTTAATACGAGCGTTATAATCCCTGAATAATACTTGAGTAAACGAACCTGAACCTCCATATCTGCATGCAACACACCCACCCACCCCTCTGAGGATTCCCACCGCTGCGCCAAATCGCACATCATTGTGCTGGAATGTTATCTTTCACTCCAAAATGTCCAACTTTGGACATTAAGACCTAGAGGCTCAGGAATCCCACATAAAACTGCTTCACCACAGCTCAACAATGTCCCATCCTGGTGTTCCAAAGTCAGCAGTCGGACATTTTCAGACACTGCTGCTACTCACTGTGAACACGGCACAGTGCCAAGCTTCCACACTGACCCCTGAACTGACCCAAACGTTAGAGGCTGTCATGCATGCAGGCTCTTATCTCTTTACAATCTCTTACAGTATATTCACTTCAGGACTGATAGCCACAGACAGATAAGGGCCAGTCACCTTTAGTGTACGACGTTTACAGCAGTTACAGAGAAGGCACCAAAACCTGATTTACGGACATGCTTGCCTGGAAATGTGACAGCAGAACTGGGCTGAGGACGCGGTGTGAGCCAGGGTGCACTTAGGATTTTTTAAAGTGACCAAGTTTCACTTAGGGGAGACAAAATAAAAGCATGGCTGATGAAAGCATTAGCCAGGAGAATCAATATACTGACTTCCAAGGCTGCATCTTATGGTTTTACAAAAGTAAACACACAGCCTGCTGCTCTGCGTTTGCAGTCTAAGCGTGCTATCTGTTGTCTGTGTGTGCGAGTACAGTAGTGCGGTGTGGCAAATGCCACATGAACTAAGATAAAATAGATAAGATAAGATACTCCAGTAACAACTGAAATAATGATGTCCTCTGACTTCAGGAAATAATTCAGCAGCTCTTTAGTAAGATAATCCTGTTTTGGCATCTTGGGATTAGCCCGTCAGGCTCGTCGCTAACACAGCCTCATTGCACTGTGGAGAGTTTGCACAGTAAAACACACAGAGACACAAACAGGAAGCGCTACGTGCTGAGACTGGTCCAAGATGACAGAGAATTTAAGCAGTTTCTGTCCCTGCTTTGCGAGCAGGATCATACAGTATATTTAAGGAGACAAGTCAAGACAAGGTAAACCCTGTAGCAGATGCCCCAGCTCCTCTCCATAATGTTCTCATATTGACTGTGTGGATACTATGTCACATTGCCTTCTGGCTGGCTCCAGTTAACAGCTAACTCCACAGCATGCAAGCCGATATTCCTCTTCTGATAGCAGACATGGTGTGTTCGACTGCACGGTCATAAGATCAACAATTACACCATCCCCAAGTCACACAGGAAAACTCCTATCTCAGCCAACGGGGCCAACGGGGCACAGAGGTGAACTGTTTACAGCAGCTCAGCTCAGACTGAGGCAAGCTGGAAATAGACCAGAGGAGTAAAACGGAACGAACTGCACTGCAACAGCAGTCCTACGCTTTGTTTCCTGGTCATGCTAAAAACATACATCAGAGATTTTACAGCTGTGTGTAAAACATAACTGCAAAAAGCATTCCCATGACTAAAAGCTGGTTGCAGCTGTTCCCAGTCACAGGCCTGAGTGAAGCTTTCTGAGACGTGCATGATCATACACCAGCGTACTTCACTTTTACTCCTACTTGAGAGCTTAAGATTAAAAGCTATTTTTCATCTTGCCTCTCAGCGCCGATCCAGGACAGCTGTGGTACAGAAGCAGAGAGCAAACGCCTTCTGAAACATGCTCTGCAGACGGTAAACAGTGGTGGAAGGAGTACTCAGATCCTTTACCTAAACAAAAGTAGCAATACCACAGTGTAAAAATACTTTGTTATAAATCCTGCAGTCATAATGTTACTTGAGTACCAAAGTATTAGCATCAAAACATACTTAAAGTATTAAAAGTAAAAGTACTCATTATGCAGAACGGCACATTTAACGTTAATATATTATTGGATTATAATTATTGTGTTCAGCACATTTAATGTTGCAGCTGGTAAAAGGGGGAGCTAGTTTTAACTAGCTTATATGGTCATCAAGAAGGCACAGCAGAGGATGTACTTCCTGCGCCAGCTCAGGAAGTTCACCCTGCCCCAGGAGCTGCTGATACAGTTGTACAGAGGAATCATCGAGTCTGTTCTCTGCACCTCCATCACTGTCTGGTTTGGCTCAGCAATCAAACAGGACAAGTACAGACTTCAGCGGACAGTCAGGACTGCAGAAAAGGTCATCGGTGCAAGCCTGCCCTCCATGGAAGACCTGTACACCTCACGGGTCAAAAGGAGGGTGGCAAGGATCACTGCAGACCCCTCACACCCGGGACATAAAGTGTTTGAACTCCTCCCCTCTGGACGGTGTTAGAGGTCACTGTGCACCAAGACAACCAGACACAGGGACAGTTTCTTCCCCCCGCTGCTCTTTCCCATTTATTAATTATAAATACATTCATTTTGTACTTAATTTTGCTACTGTATATGGCTATTAAAGATTGATGAATAAAAGTTAGTCAAATAAAAATGACACATTTGTTGAATGAGTGGGGCGTGGGTAAGGTCGTCTCTGATTGGCTAGTCCTGCTCTGATTAATCATGAGATCACTCTCATGGGAGAAAAGTCCACTTGATAAATGTATTTTAATCTGAAGAACTCTTTTGCTCTTATTTTAATTCTTATACATTTGAGAAATACAGGCCCTGATCTCTTGAAAACGCCGCTGCGGCTCCAGAACTACAGGGGTTTATCTGACTCCTTCATATGGCTTTATAAGAATGTGCCAATATGCGAGTTGCTGCTCCTCTGTGTCGAAAGGAGCCAGTTGAGGTGGTTTGGGAATCTGATGCCTCCTGGGCACCTCCCATTGGAGGATGGACAAACTAAGTCATCTACACACCTTTTAGCAAACACTTTCTGCTGCAAAGCTTTCTTCCTATGGCAAGTAACCTGCAACTGAGGACAAGGCTGAATAAAACAACACACCCCTTAATGAATTCAACAAATTGTATGTACCTCAGGGCACTGTGTTGATAAATCAAAGTCCAGAGACAAAGAGAGCAGGAGAGTAGCACTTGTAGATTTGCATTTCATAGACGTGTAGCAGGAGTCTCTGTCTACATCTTCTTACATATTCACCAAACAGGTGAATCTGAGCTCAGCTGACACTGAGGAGCAAGCTATGACATTTAAACAGAATGCCTCCCTCAACCCAATCATTACAACAGGACTTTAAAGCTTTTAAAACTTTGCAGCCTCATCCTGCTGCCATTTTGGCCTCATTTGCTTTTCCACGTTAACATGTACATCCTCGTCTTGGCTGTTCTCTCCCTCTGATCCAGAGAGGCCTTATCAGCTGTCCGACCGGTCTACAGCAGTAAAACCTTTGGGCACCAATATCCTCAGTCATACAGCTGAGCTTCGCACAAGCAATAAATGAGACTGATGTGTTGCTGGGTCGGTGCCAGCTCTACAGTGTCATACTGGTTTTATAGTCTCACCTGCGGGTTCAACTGTGATCAAGAGGACAAGAACACAACAGTGAGAAGACTTCACAATAAAGACAGGGAACATTAAAGGACCTGTTTTGAAGTCTATTCTGACTTGACACTTAAGATGATGCAAGAGGTTATGTTCAGTCACCCATCCTGTTCAGTGAGCAGGCTTTCCATCTGGAGTGTGATTCAGTTAATGACTGCAAATCTGCAGGCCTTATTCAGTGCCTAAAACACTCCATTGTTCAACCAAAGTTACCATGATGCTGCAACAGTCGGTCTTAAAAATTCATGTGGTTGATAAAATTCTGCTGGAACAGGTCGACACTGATCATAAATGTAGTGTTCACTCTACAATAAGTCCCACTGACGTGTGAAACCTCTTCTCCAAGGGAGCACTGGCAAAATACAGTACAGGGCTGCCAAACCAAAAAAGCAGCAAATTAAATGTTTGGCACTTTGCTTATTAAAAACAGTTGCTGGCAAACCAACCAAGTGACTAGTCACTGCAGCTCCACCCATCCATAGTCATAAATACTGCAGCATCATATTAGCTCTCAGGGTTCACCATGGTGCTTTTATGCACTCAGCAGACTGTCAGTCTGTATCACATTAACTCCCCAGCACTGTAACAGGAAAGTGGAAATTGCATGTCCAGTAAGAAGGGGCGCTGACTGATGATGAATCAATGAGCTACAGTGCATGAGTAAGGAATATTTAAAGGGACACAGGGCAAAAATTCAAACCAGTTCATTTGGAAAGACAGGACTTGTCTGTGCTTTAAATGAATCTATGTTGGGGTTTTTTTTTGGTTGGTTGTTTTTGTTTTGGTAATTTATTACAGTGATGGACAGTAACGCATTTCCTCAAGTGCTGTACTTAAGGCACATGTACTTTACTTGAGTATTCTGGTATGTTACTAAAGTTCAGAGGCAATTACTTTACTCCATTACATTTATACTCCACGTTTGCAAGTGCAGTGTGGTACTGTGGAATGGGTTCTTCTTTTACTGTTAGTACTTCAAGTATATTTTGATGCCAGTACTGTTGTACTCTTAAGTGAAAGTTTAAGTGTAGGCCTTTTACAGTGCTTGTGACGGAGTATTCCGGGTAAATTGCTGGGTAAATGTGGGAAACACCCAGTAGCAGTGCAAACTATCACAAAGGGTCCTTCCACATGTAAAGTATGACCCTCTACATTGCATCACATGGCCACCACCCACCTGATAACTGGACCGAGCAGCAGCAGGTGCAGGAAAAGGACCAGAGGTCGGTCCCGACCCAAGTCTCTGTGAATGAAGGTTAAGGCTAGCTGGATGAGCACGGCGGGCAGCAGCATGAAGGTGATGGTGAAGCCCATCCAGGTGACATCGTCGGTCTTGTGGTACATGCTGCAGAGCACGGCGGCGGTGACGAACTCGGCGCAGTAGAGCACAGTGGCCAGCACGACGCTGAGGGGCGGATGGACCCGGCTGTGGTTGATCACCAGCATGAGCCCGTTCTCCGGCATCGAGGGACACTCCTGTAGGTCCATATCCGAGATGTCCCGCTCCTGCTCCTCCATGACCACCTCACGCAGGATGGTACCAAGTTCTATTTATACGTCGCCAAAAGGCGCCGACGTTAAACCGGGCTTGCCCTGCCGCACTGTGCTCCAAAAACCTCACTTTTAAAAACGACTTCCATTCATACGCAGTGTCTTCCAACTTTCCTCCGACTTGATCATCGCCGCTGTCTCACTGTGAACAACCTGTTCTCCTCGGCCGTGTCACCGCTCCACAGCAGGCACTCACTCGCCACCCACAGCCTGTTATTGTCTGGAAAACCGTGGTACGTGGCGCTACCAGGCTGTTTAACCCGAGAGAAACCTGCTACCGGTCCCAGCGCTGTTGTTGCTCCGTCTGTGTGTGTGAATCGAGAAAGTTCAGCCTCAATTCAAAACAATAACGTTAACTCGGTCAGGCGGTCATCGCCCGTGCCCCGGAGGTTATCTTAAGTTTGAACAAGCTTGTTGTTCCGTGGTAAACACACCACGAGTCTGGCTGCAGGCTGTGGGGGGGTGGGGGGGGTTGGGGCGTCAACGTGTCGGCATGCTTTTGCAGCTGCAGGCGGGTTGTGTTGTGTGTTTTCAGTCTTCAGCTTCAAGTAACCCAGAAAACACGCAGTCATACCGGAAATGGTGGGCGGGACCTTTCAAAGTAAGAGAGATCAGAGAAGAAAAGCAAATTTACATGAATCCAATAAAGTAAAAATAAGAAGGTCAATGATAATAGAAAAAAGAGGGAAGCCACTGAATGTTTAAATTGAAAAATTAGGAAGCACAAATACAGGAACTAAGATATCACATTCTCAAAAAGGTAATTCCACATAATCACTTCAATGAGTGTTTAAGTATATTTTTCTGCTAATACTTTTGTACTCAAGTAAAATTTTAAAAGCACAGGACATTCACTTGTAACAAAGTATTTCACACTGTTGTATTAGTACTTTTACTCATATACAAGATCTGAGTACTTATTGAGTACTACTGTGAAGTTCAGAAGAAGCTGCAATACATTTATGAAAGTGCTGAAAGGTGAATCTGTGTTATTGTGTTACAAATATTACAAATTACAAGCATAGTAATATACAAAGAAAAGATTAATTGTGATGGGGTGATCTCACCGCATGTATAAAAAATGGATATGATAGTAGGAATAAAAGCTGAATGTATATAACCTTTCATGTGGTACAGTATCTCGCACAGGTGGCTCCAAATACTAATACAGGTACTACTGCTACTAGATGTTGACATTGTAAAATCTCACAGGATTCTGAGTTCAACTAAAAAAAAAAACTACAGTAATCAGTAAGAAAAATAAAAAATCACTGAATTCATTATTCCTGGTCTGCTGCCAAACTAACTGCTGCTTCAACAGTGAGACAATATACTGTAGTTTTATTACATACAGTGTCTGTCCCATCCAAGTGGAAGCATAGTAGGGGGTAAGCACAGAGGGATCAGTTTCTCTGCACTTCCATTTTTAGTTTTCACCAGCAGGGTAGGCCTGGCTGTGTTACAGTGGCCTGCAGGCCTGAGAGTGAACTAGCCACAGGAACAGGTGCAGCACACACATGGAACTGCATTCGATCTTCTCATTCCCTTGTGAAACAGACATTTCATTATGCCACCATTTGTTCAGTATGCATGCTCATAAGCCTAAAGTAACATCTTGTGATCCAGGTGAACAGAACCAGTTTCATGTTTGCTCAACTACTTCGGCAAACAAAGATTTGTAAGGTGCATGAGAAGGTCACAGTCTGTAGTGTAGCAACATACCTAACATTTCCACTGCAAAACATTGTCTTCATTGCTTAGGTTTATTTTAACACGACCTGTTACTATTGCTTTCCCCTTCATTTAGATAATGACAAAGGGTATTGTTCCATGTAATACAGTATGTCTCAATATGACCTGGTGTAGAGTTTCAACATAGCTTAATACAAACATGTTGAAATCTTCCTGTCTAACCAGGTTTCATCTCTCAGTCACTGACACTGACATGAGCCTGGCTTTGTGAAGAAGGTCAACACAACCTGTGAAGGCCTGTCATTACTAAATCATGTGTCTGGTGATATTAGTCAGTGACTTCAGACTCCAAAGGCTGCTCTGCAGACAGTTGGGGAAGTGAAGGATGGAAACCTCATGATGGAGCACCAGTCATGCCTGGTCAGTGAACGGTTACACTGGATTTTTGAAATTCTTTGCAAGACACTGAAATAAACGTATTATTTGTCCCCACTTTGTTTTGAGCCGTCTTTGAGGGAACATTTCAACAGTCTAGAGAAATATGCATTAGATTTTGTACTAAGAGTTTGATGAGAAGATACCACTCTTATGTTTATAAGAGAAATATGAAGCTACAAGCAGGAAATGGTTAGTTTAGCTTAGCACAAAGGCTAAGCTAAACTAGCTGGCTGTATCATTTAGCATACAGACATGAGAGTGATAACAATCTTTTCTTGTATTGGGCAGCAGCTAATGCTTAATTTCTTTACTGATTAGTTTTCCAATTATTTTCTTTAATAATGAATTAACCACTTAGTTTATAAAAATGTCCATGCCAGTTTCTCAGACTCAGCGGTAATAAGTCCAAATGTCTCGTTTCGTCCACTGGAGAAGATAACAATGGCATGTTTGACATTTTTTTTCATAATGACTTAAATGATTATTTGATTATCAAGTTGCAGTTATTTTTCTGTCACTCAAATAATTGTTTCATCATTTAATCTCTCAACAGTAAAGTGAACAAACCTATTTCCCAAATGTTGAACAATTGTTTTAAAGATAGCGAAAAAGAAATTAAGGGCAAATTGATCATTTCTTCTCATCTAACTCTAGGGAAGACAGTAACTCTTTAAGGCTTTAACTCTTCCTGTAAGTTTATAATATTCTAAGGCAGGAATTGTAAAGTAGTATAGCTGTAACTGAGATTGTAAAATCTGTCTTCAAAGGTCTTTGAATGATGGTTGCAATGAACAAGAACAGATGGAGGTGTGGTCCTGAGGTGCAGCTGTTTTTGCTCTCTCTCTCTCTCTCTCTGTGTGTGTGTGTGTGTGTGTGTGTGTGTGTGTGTGTGTGTGTCAGTGTCAGCTGACACAGGGCTGTGGTCAGATCCTGGGGTGAGGCTACTCAGCAGAAGCCTGATTGGACATTGGTTTAATGACATAATGAGATAACGCCTCCGCTCCATACCAACTGCACCAGGTCTCTGAATGCTGTCAATAAACATTATTGTTATTTGTTTTAGTCCATGATCTGTTTTCACTAGATTTTCCCACATAAACATTAAGATATTAAATGATCATTATTGTAGATTTGTAGAGGCTGCATAACATAACTACATGTTCAAATAATGAGTTCAGAATAGTATAAACTGAAATGTATCTATGGGAAAAGTTGTCCTTAGCTTGTCAAGGACTTGAACATGGAGACATTATATTATTTACGGGGACTATTTGAATGACAGCAGCCTCTGGCGTGAAAATAAATTGTGTGAATATGAAGCCACCTAGTGGTTACTACTGCCCTTACATGGAAATATAAAGTTGGACTGAAAAACATCATAACAAAACTTAGTTATTAATGTTAAGGTTGACCACTTATTTGTGCTTAATAGTAACTATATTTATAATCATATAGTTATTGGAATCTTTATCAAATATAGTTTTCATCTTTTGTGTAGAGCTGTTTGTATGAAATGTCTATATCACCACATCACAGGTCTACAATAAGCTGTGCTCCTAATTTAACCTGTAAACTCAACATACATTATAGTGTGACGCCAGCATGTCACAGATCACACCACAAGACAAGTTTAGGTCTCCTGGCCGTATCCGTGCCCCTTAGTTGGATCTAGTTAAAGAAGAACCACTTTATCCAGTGGGATAAGCTGCTGGCTCTGAGGATTCTGGGACTGGATGAAATACCAATACAACATTTCCCAGGTTGCACCTCCCACATGGGGTGACCAGACGCTTAGTGTGAGCCTGATTAGTTTTGTTGCTGGTGGGTACAAGATGTAGACGAGAACCCAAACAAATATATGGATATTAACTTATGTCTGTGAGTATTCTTCAGTTTTTCCCAGCTTGATAAACTTTTAAATTTTGCACTTTTGATATGTAGGTGAATTATTTAATGGTGTCAGGTACTAGTATTTTATTGTTTAGTGAATTTAAAATGGTTTGTTTTAATCCAGTGGTTCACTGCATTTTCCCACATGTGTGACTGTGTGGTAAAATGCATGTTGTTGTTGTTGTTGATGTTTGTGTGGCCAGAGACCCGCACGCTGGTATGGACTGTTTTTTATTTCTAAGATATTAATAAAATAGTTGATTATTATTTATAATCACAAATCTATTATACTTTGCTTTGTAGGTTTATTGTTACTAGTATTACTGCTCATTTGAAACAATTTATTTATATATATATTTATTAAATAAACAGTTTAGTAAAAAATATACAGCAACATTTCTTTGAGTGTTAAAACTCAAAGAAATCACTAATCTAGATTATCTATTTTACAACTACATCATTTTAAAATCTGCTTAATAGTGCAACCACTGAAATCTTTTCTCACTTCACACATCTTGCACATTCAGTCCTGTGACCAGATGATATTGTGTTTTAAAAACACTGATAACTGCTGATGCTAACACAATTATACTGTCTTGCTCTGAATGCCCAAACTGCTGGAATTTCAGACACCTGTGCAAAATGGAAAATGTCCTTACTTACACTATGGCAGAAATGGTCATGGCCTGTATTTTCCAGCCAAAACAAATGTGGGTCAGCTTGTTAATAACACTGTGAAACCAGGCCAATCTAAACTGACTTTAGCAGATTACAGAGCCTGAACAGATGCACCGGACAAAGAACTGAGAGATCCGGCAGTGTTTTTTAGCACATCACCTGAGTTCATCAGACACACCTGGTGCCTGTGTATTACAAGGTCTGAGAGGACTTCTCATAGTTCCTGTGCTTAGCTTTTAGTGGACTCATATGTACAGATCAGATTGTATTATATAAGTGATGTCATGACTGGTTTTTGAGAGAAAGCCAGGGAAATATTTATGCATAAATACAATTGACAACATATTTATTATCCTTATTACTGACTACAGTAATGGTTTTTGATCATTAATCCAAGGAACTACATAGAATAAGATTTGAAATTAGAGTGACCTAAAGAAAACAAGATTACAGCAAATTAGGCAGAGAGAGACAGTTGGCAGTCGTCTCATTGCCTGGATGGCTGACCATCTGTAAAATCTCCTAAGCCCACAGGAGACAGACAAAAAGCATCTTTGTGTCAGACCCGGCGACTAGTGAGCCATACTAAGGTTGACCATCTGTTTGCAGGTACCGGTTCCAGAGAAGATGGTGGCCACTGTGCTCATCTTACTCCCCTCAAGGAAACATGTTCAACCTGATGAGCAACTGCTGCACCTGGGTCTCCAAAATACAGGAGCAAATCAGGTACACATAAAATATATCTTTTAAAAAGTGACAGAATAAAATGTATAATGAGTCAAGCTTTTTTAATCAGTAATGCATTTGTTCCATTTAGCAAAATACTCATATTCCAGGAAATAAAAAATGCAGGTTTAAAGAGTGGCATGCTCTTTTCCAGCCATTTAATGTTTAATAAGCCTAACTCTCACTGAAAGCTCTAGATTGACAGTATTTGACTAAATAAAATCATACAGGTAAAACTAACTTGCTAAAATAGAAAAAAACACCTTTCAAAGAGAAGTGAATAAACTTTGTGTACAAATAAATTTAGATACAACTCCATTACATATTTTGCTTTTCATATTATTTTGCTGTGGTATAAATGTATTTCCATGCCACATATAGTTTAGCGATGCTGCCTGAAATAATTATTTCTAATTACAGCTTGTAATTAAAACTATATAGTGTTGCTTTAACTCAAATAGTATGGTGTGTTTACTTGTCTGCAGGAAGGTGACCATTCTTGTGGTTGGTCTTGACAAAGCAGGAAAAACATCCTCCATCAAAGGGATGTTAAGAGGTAATTCAACATGAAACCTAAAGTAAAGTTTTCATACCAGGAAAACAACAAATAACCAACCTGTATTTTCTCTCTATCTTGTTCAGTTCCCAGTTGTGTGGATGCAAGACCCACCCATGGCTGTGTACGAAATGAGCTGCGGGTGGAGAATTACCTGGTCACCCTGCTGGATGTTGGAGGATCAGCAGAGTCAAGAGGAGTCTGGAGGGAGCTCTGTGGAGAAGCCCATGGGATCATCTTTGTAGTGGACTCCAGTGACAGGCAGAGGATGTGGGAGGTCAAAGATGTTCTTCATGACCTGCTCAAACAACCAAGAGTGGCAGGAAAACCCCTATTAGTGTAAATATATTCAGCTTCATATGTACAGTACGTTGCAAGTGTGATCTAATGTAATGTGCAGTGCATTTGGGGCCCTTGGGTGGCTGATGAGAAAAATAGTAGACTTTAGTACTTATTTTAGTAGTAACTGTGAATCTTCTCAGGCTTGTGCTGTGACATTTTCTTTTTAGGCTGGCTAATAAACAGGACAAAATGAACGCTTTGCCGGGAAGTGACCTGATTGAGATTCTGTCTCTGGAGAAGCTGGTCAACCAGAGCCACTCTCTGTGCCATATAGTAAGTACTGTTCTAAAATTCATCACTACAATCGGATTAGGTGGGAATCATAGTTACTGAAAGAAAATATGGAGGGTAGAAAACCCTGTAGCACAGAGTTGTACAGTAGACACCTTAGGCATGCAGACAAACAGACCTTTTTTCCTTTCCTCTCAGGAGCCTTGTTCAGCCTTAATGGACCTGAGACGCTGGTCAGACAGAAAGACCCTACGAGGTCTTCGCTGGCTGCTGCGGGAGGTTTGCCTGGAATATCCTGAGTTGTGTGCTCGTGTAGCCAAGGACTGCAAGAGGCTTCTGGAGCCAAGAGAGAGGGAGAAGCATGGGAAAACAGGCAAGGTTCGCAGAAAAACCAAGGTGGAAAGGTGAGAAGAGCTTTTTTATTCAGAGAATTCATTGTGATTATGCTGAACATAGATCAGCATAAACTTGAACATGAAATAATAAGTAACCTGAGCAGCAGAATGACTGTTCATGTGTAATATTTTCTCACCCCAGAATGCCATCTAGCAAGTCAGATCTTCATCAGGTTAATCAGCTCAAAGACAGGGGGAAAATGACCACAGGTGAAGGAAAGCTGCAACCCATCCAAAACATACTGCAAAAGGTAGAAAAAACATCTTGCTTTTTTTTTTTTAAATTCCTTTGTCTTTACATTATGACTGACTCACTATGATGATAAGCTGGTACAAATTTATAGTCCTTACTAGACCTGCAAATAACAGTTATTTTTGTCACTGAGTGATCTGAATATTATTTTCTCAATTTATGGATTAATCCCACAGTCTTGGTCAGAAAACACTAAGTGTTTCTCCAAGGTGGCAACATGTTGTTTTGCTTGACCAAGAGTTAGAAAACCAAAAATATTCAGTTTGCAATCATGGAAAACTCAGAAAACCGCATTAACATTTGAGAACTTGGAACCACAAGATTTGGGCATATTTCTTAACAATTTTGACAGAAAGCAGTTAGTTGATTATCACAATTGTAGTCATTGCAGCTTTACACCCTAATCACCTTTTATCATCTCTATCTCACCATCTTTTCTAAACATCAGTTATGCCATGTTTACTACCATGTTTTTGTATTTTGTGAAGTTCTCAAAAATGACATATTATACAATGAATGTTACAATAAAACAAGTCAAATTAAAATAACAATTACTTAACAATTCCTGTAACCAACAAAAAACAATTCCTTCCCCAGCAGACCACATTGAAAAAGATGTTGAAGACAAAGAAAAAAAAGAAGAAGAAGAAGCTAGTTAAGGTCAAGGATGGTGAAAAAGAAGCAAATGAACAAGAGGAGGAGGAAGAGGAGGGTGATGGTAATGAAGGAGGGCAAGAGAACTCTGGTCACATAGAGAAATCCAGCAGTGCCCTGATCCCACTGAAAAAGGACAAACTGAAACGCAAAACAAAGGTGAAAGATTCACCGGGCAACGATGAGAAGCCACTTAAAGGTTGTAATCAATTATTAAATTCCTATATAGTTTGGTTATTAACTGTTTAAGAATGGAAATTAATATTTCTATTGTCTTACAACTAGCTAATGGGGAAAAGAAGAGGAGGAAGAAGAAAGTTGTCAAAGTAAAAAGGAAGAACAAAATCAACACAGAGGAGATGGCTGAGGCTTGCTCTCAGCCTGGTGACCTTTCTGCAACCTTTGGTGAGCCTCGTCCACTCCTTCCATCCACCAATCAAATACAGTAACACTATGGACTCTGAAATTGATGAAATCCCAACTTTTGTTTACAAAAGATGACCCTCTCTCCTGATAGATCTTTACAGAAAAGCCGTACTGGTTTTGAAGGGACGTCAGGCTCAGGGACAATGAGAGCGAATCTTGGCTGTGTCCAGCAGAGTGTGAGGATGTGGTCTCCACATCGACACACTACATCACTTCACATTATTTTTATTTTATTCTATTTTATAAACAGGTTAAATACAGACAGAGACATACATTTTCAGTGCTATATCTTTATCATATCAGAGCTGAATCCTGAACCTTTGAAGTGAAACCAGTGTGTAGTGAATGGCAGGTCTGAGCAATAATATAAAAGTAACATTCATGATATAACATTTTAGAACAATAAAATAAAGATAAACTTGTGTTTAGGGTGATTTGTTTGTATAAATCTATACAGTTTTGAATGTAAGGGAAACAATTTATTAGAACTGTATCCTATTGTATGATTATTTATATATGGCTGTACAATATAATATATAATGATTATTTTCTAGCAGTGCACTGAACAGTATGGGACATTGTCAAAGTTACAGTATGGTTAAATATAAATGTATAAAACTTTTTATCACAACTTGCATGGCATTTATTATGTGTATATTTCACAACAAAAGCACATTTGTAAGTATTGTTATATGTTATTTAGATTTAAACATCTAACAAAGACAAACGAGATAAGATGTGTTGTTTTCTCTTCTTGGTAACTTCATTATTATCCATTGTATTCATTCATATTCATTATAATTTCAGTTTTCATTAAAAATTAATTAAACATTCCTAGACAAACCAATGGTTTCATTTGCAGTTTATGGGGCATACAAAACTAAGTACAAAACTAAATAAGAACTGGGGTGCAAACAGGGAAGGTGGTTCAGGTTAAAAGGAGAAACTGTCCACTTAAATTAAACACTGCTGGCCAAGTTCTTTAAAAAAAAAATCCCTTCTGCTGCTTTTCCTTTTATGTTCATCATTTTGAGGTTGGACACAAGCCAAAATGTGAATTCTTGGTAATTGTTATGGGCATTTTTCCCTATTTTCAGGATTTGTACAAACCAATTAGTTGACAGTTTGAGTTAATCAGTCGGTTAATTCATAATGAAATCAATGTTTTGTTGCAGGCAAATATAAGTTGTTAACGGTTGTTAGTTTTACTGGGATACACCTGGTAAAGCAAAGGTTAAATACAACAAATGATAGTATAACAGTCACCTGGGCCATTTTACTTATACTTATGTACTTATAACATTTTCATTGCATGGCCTTTATTTATGGCAGAGTATTTTTGTGATATTGGTACTTATATAAGTAAAGAATACTTACAACTCCACTGTAATTAGTAGTACACATTACCAAATGTAACCCCCTGCCAGCTGTGTCAAGTTAATAAGTTAATAATAATGAGGTCATAATAAGGGACGTGATGGATAAAGCACGCGTAAAGTCCTGTCAGGCTGCTCCCGCATGCACAGAGACGGGGCCAGCACATCGCCATGTTTGTGGTTCTTCCAGAAGCCCCGCCTCCTCGGCGCATCTTCACCAGGAGCCGTCCGGCTGTCATTCAGTTCGGGGGGGAGCGTCTGGCTGCGTGCACGTTAGTGAAACATGGCCTCACCAAGGACAATAACTATTGTGGCCCTTTCATTTGCCTTGGGTTTGTTTTTCGTGTTTATGGGCACCATTAAGCTCACTCCGAGACTGAGCAAAGATGCATACAGTGAAATGGTGAGTAAATCATATCGATAAGCTGCAGGCGACAGTGGCTGCACACGAGAAAGCCTCTCCGGCTCGAATAATGTGGGAAGCTTCTGGTCTCAATAGAAAAATATGGAAAATGAATGCTTTCGATACAGACGTGATCTCCTGCCTTTATCAGCCTGTGTGTTGCCTTATTACCCCAGTGGACACTCCTGTATAGAAAATGTTAAGACTTATTGACACAGCTCGTAGACCAAGTCTGTGTGCTTTGCGATAAACAATGAAATATTTCTGCATCAACACAGGTTAACAGGCTTTAATCGGACACATAAAACAGTCCGAAATGTCTTTTAGCTCGTAAACGCCGAAACGAGGTGAACAATGAATGACTGAACGCATCTTAGTCTTCTTCATACGTGCTATAACGTTGATGATGCAAACATCTATGTCGGATAACCAACAGATTTGCCAGTTATTTGGCTCTTTATAGCCTATTAAATATATTGTAGCTGCTGAGCTTCTCGTGTAATATGAAGAGCAACTTAAGAGCTGAGGAACAATGGCGGCGCATTCGAGCAAATTCTGTGAGATGGACCTGCTAGTGTTGAAATGTCCTGTCTGGTGAATGATAGGCTCCATGCAAAATCCTTAATAATAGTGTGCTCTGAGGATATTGTCTTATCACATTTGCACATGTTTACAAGTTTCCTTGAAACAGAAGATGAATTATGATTTGAATGCACCCATGTGAGCTTGTATGGCCTATAGTTAAATGTGGAAGATACCTAAAAGATCTCTAACGTTTTGTATTTCAGAAAAGGGCATACAAGAGCTATGCCAAGGCATTGCCAGGCCTGAAAAAGATTGGGGTCAGCTCAGTCTTGCTTCGTAAGATCATTGGCTCCCTGGAGCTGGGCTGTGGCGTGGTGCTCACCCTGGTGCCGGGCAGGCCGAAGGATGTGGCCAACTTCTTGTTGCTGCTGGTCATGCTGGCTGTGCTGTTTTTCCACCAGCTAGTAGGAGACCCCCTGAAACGGTACGCCCACGCTCTAGTCTTTGGTATTCTGCTCACTTGCCGACTTCTCATTGCTCGCCAGAGTGATGACCGGCCAGAGAGAGAGGACAGCAGAGAGGAACAGTACATCAATGACCAGGAAAGGAACAAGGTCAAGCAGTCTTAAGATCCTCTTCTTCTTTGGTCCAAGCCACAACAAATGGAGCCTGTATGGACTGCAGAAATTCAAATCATGAAGGAAACAGTCACTTCCAGTAATAGTAGCCTACCCCTCACGCACCCCCCCTTGTCCCATCCAGTGGACTGATTGCTACCTACTCCTCTGCACTCTTGTGAAACTGAGAACTCCTAGTCCATACATCCTCTGCATTACCATGGACACTCATACCTGTGGAAACTGATGGGTTTAGCTCATTGTCACAACACTCAGTCCATTTTCGCTGTAAGCAATGTAGCTTGGTTTTCAAATTCTTTTTTTTTATACCGTATGTAGGAGAGATTGATAATTTATGAATTTCAGTGGTTCAAGCATGTTTCATTTGGTCTATATAACATAAACCTAAATGAGCACTGATGAAATCATTTTTACTAATAATACATCAGCGTGTACTACATATCCACATATTATTTCAGTGCAGTGTTACCAGAATGGTATTTCAGAAAAAAAAATATAAATCCTTATTCAGTGTTCATCTCTGTAGATTTTTTCAAGTATGCATGGAATCCTTTCTCCCAGAGTAAAAAAAAAACAACAACAAACTGAATATCCTTTTCCACATTTCAGTTCAGTTGTCACGTTGACACTGTTTAGCTGGAAAGGACAGCAGGTGCTGCCTCAGGTGTACGTGGCCAGCGTGTACAGCAGAGCCTAACCAAATTAAGTCTTTTTGCCTGTTAAAGAAGGAATTATACCTTTTGTAATTCACAGATGGAGTCTTAAACTTATTTGCTGTCTTTTAAAGATCCTGTCCATCCCTTTGGTTTTATTTTCTCTTTCAACAGATATGGAAATAATTTCTGATGCAGTTTTGCTTTGAAAGTCATGTCAGTTTGAGATTCACAAAATTCCTGTAAATGATAAAATAAAAGATTGGAGTTGAGACTGACTAAATACTGTTTGTCTTATTAGCATGTGCATATTTCTTTCAGTCAAAGTTAGTAATAAGCCTTACGTTAAATTTGCAGACGTGTGTGCTGCTGTGGGATTTCTTGTGTTATAATCTTGTTATATAACTTCAGCCAGTTCATATTAAGGTAATTCCTTCATATCAGCACATGAGCTGTATATATGCAGTGCTTGTATCCATGCTCTGTAAAGGTTTTTTTTTCCTATTTTATTTTATTATCAGTTTTTTTTAACAATTTCTGCTTAACTTTAAAATTTAAATATGTTAACAAAGACTCTGGGAACTTGAGATACTTACTATACTGTACGATTAAGTGAATATTTGAGTAAATAATAAGAAAAATTAATTGATTTTAAAAAATCATTAGTTGCAGCTATAGACATTTCTGCACCTATGAAATGCAATTGAATGGAAGTTGAGAAATTATAATTAAAAATACAAACTTATTTTCAGAGACTTTGCAATTCACAGACCTCTTTGTTAACAGTCACTACCTTCTACTTAAAAATGTGTTCCTCTGAAAGCTCTGCTGTTTGATCATGACAAACAAAATTAATTCACCTGCATTGTAAGGCTGTGGCACCTGCTTATCTTTTTAAATCACTTCAGTTTACACTTCCAACAGGAAGGAAGAAACACAAAGCTACAACACAAACACAAAGCTACTGCATGTCCTCAAAGAGACGGTAAACATCTGCAAAAAGAAACAAACTGATCAGCAATGATAGGGCAACAATATTTGTGGTTATTTTATGTCTTTGTCGGGGCCTTATACATGTCTGTGGCCTGGGGCCCATTGTGTCTTAATCAGTCCATGCCCACACCTCTATGGAGTATAGTGTAGAGGTGTGGGCAAAGGTTGTAGTAAAATTGGAAACACAGTGCCTTAAAAATACAAACAGTATATTCTACTCTTTTTTTTAAATTGCAGTAGTTTTACATGTGACATTTCTGACTTTATGTAAGTGTGAAGTTTCCAAAAGAGTGTATGCTCTACAATTATAGCTGAAATTTTTATTTTGAATACTCCATATTACAGTTAACTCACCAGCAACACATAGTTTTGTGTGGTTAGTGTCCTATTTTCCCGTTTTTAGGAAGTAACTGAAAACTTTCGTTGCTGTTTAACATTCTCTCATGAAACACCAAATTTCGGTATAGACAGACAGCGTCATTATATTGCCTTTGTGGGGTTAAGGATAGACGGACTACAATGCCCAGGAAGCAACAAAGCGGATGAACTGTACTGCGCAAGCGCAGAGCAAACGGTCGCGCGGAGGATTTGAGTTTTGAATGGTTGACTACAGAATAGAGCATAACGATTTGAACTTTTAGCAATGTAGACATGGCCGCAACGCTAAATTTGTCGGGTCTCACGGATTCAGACCCGGGGCTAAATGACCAATCTGCGTCCAGTCGAAGCAGCAACAGAAGTCTGAGAATCGCAGAGAGGGATAGAAGAAAGAACGAGGCAGAGGACCCATTCGCACTGGCCCTGAAGTATTTCTCTGACGGTAGGAGTTGGCCCAGACAAACAGTGAACTAGCTAACCTTGGTTGATAGCAGATGATATTGTTATTGTTATTGTTATTGCTATTGCTATTGTTATTTAGCTAACGTTAACTGCCCTGCGCTTATACATTAACGTTACGGCAAGAGAAAGAAGATGACTAAAAGTAGACAAAGCCAGGAAGGGCCGTAACTTTACGTTAGCATCATATGTTTACGTTTTTGGATCAGGGGCTTTACGTCGTTACCGTTAACGTTAATAACGTAGTAAGTTAACGTTACTAGTTTTAAACTCACTAGATATGGCAGTTCCAAAGAGAGCTAGCCTTAAGTCATTAATGTTATATACAAAAACAGACAACAACACTATTGGAAAGGGTAAGTTAATGCTAACACTTTTTTTATTGAACATCATATTTACAGTGAAACCTGTCTACAGAACCTGCAAGGGACTGAGCAACAAATCTATATATTATATATTTTTCCAAAATGATAAAATTATTGACAAAGAATTGACAAGAAGAAGATACACCAAATTTGATATTTTCTAAAGTAAAAGGTGCTAAGAAGTAAATTTTGGATCTGAGCCAGTCATTTAAATGGTAAGGTTAGGTTAAATGGTTAGGTTAAAATTAATACCATTTTGTGGCCCTCATGTTCATTTGGGTAAGAAAGATAATCTTTTTTTGAAAACATTAATGTTAGGTGTTCAAAACACACAGAATGTTGTTTTAAAACACTTAACGTTGTTTAAATGGTGTTAAACATGAAGAGACCTGTTTAAAATTCTAAATACATTATGATGATTTTAAACTTTAACATCTTTGAATTTCCTCTGTGTTTTGGAGGGGATGCTAGAGATTATTTGAGCAAACAAGATGTTTATGTCATTATTAATGTTGGAGTAGCTAGCTTGTCTGTTGTTGTTCTAAAAAAACAAAACAAAAAAAATAACTAAAACTATCAGAAGAAAACTTTGAGTATGCTGTATGTACTTATTCATGCTAACATATACACACTCTGATGTGTCCTGTAGTTGAAGCAGGTACTCCTGTGATAGGGAACGATCAGTTTGAGAACAACCTGGTGCTGGTGGAGACGGTGGCCTACAGTAAAGGACTCCCCCCAGAGGGCATCTCTATTATGCTGGAGTTTGCCATGAGCCTTCGTATGGGTAAGTTGGTCCCCTTCAGAGCAGCTGTGAACTGGGTAATAATTGTGGAATTTCTAATGGAAGGAATGGACCTGTAAAGGCCACTCATATGATAGTGAAAGTGAAACCTGTAATACCATCCATCTATCCATTTTGGTGCTTAACCTGAACAGGGTTGTAGGGGGCTGGAGTTCATCCCATCACACATCAGTCAAGTTAGCATCTTGAACAGGTTGCCTGTTTATCACAGGGCTCACAACTGTCCCACTCTTAATCACAGCTCAGTCGATTTAATGCCAAAAATTCCCCTAGTCTGCCTGCACTGGGACTGTGGGTATAACTGGAGAAGTGACAGGAACCCATGTAGACATGGATACAACTCCACACAGACATGTTCAAACCCAGGTGGCAGTGTTAACTATTGAGCCACTGTGTTGACTGAAATATCTGGTAGTTTGCTTTAGTGCAGTTCAGTTGGCAAGAATGCCAAACATTACTTTAAGCAGTAGTTTAATGTCCCATCAGTATAATGTGAGCACATATTTTTCAGAGTTTAAACACATGGCACAAATGTTTGTTTCATTCTTCTTAAAAGTGCAGGAACATCTGTGAAAAGTATCAAGTGTGTGTTAATGTCTTGGATACTTGCTTCTGTTAAATGATTGTGTTTTTGTGAATTTTTGTGTGAAGGAAATTCTCCATGTGTCAGGGTGCTGAAGTGTCTGATTCCTGCCACTGTGGTGCCACAGGAGGCTGTGGTTCGAGCAGTGGTTTGGCTGTGTGTTGGCAAAATACCTATCAGCAGTCAAGTAAGAACAGATAATATTATTTTTATTTCTATTTGCTCTTTTTCAATAGGTAGTTACGTTTTTTGTCATATTGTTGGGCAATCTATCTTGATTTGATTTGTCCAAATGTTTTAATCAGTTTTCTATTCATCAGGGGCTGTATGTTCATTGGCAGAAACATTACCTTCAAATAAAAATTAACACTTTTAAACAAAAGGGTAGTATTTAAGACTACTTTTTCCCTCAGTTTGCGTTTTGTAAATATAGTAATTCAGTCAAAATAATATTTACAAAAGTGAGTGACCTTTAGTATTTAAAGAATAATAATTATACAGTATTTGAGATAAGTGTTTGGTGACCTGCTTTTGATTCTGTATGTGTCATTGCTAACTTTGTAGCATAGTTACTGTCATTTCTGTGTTGACTTGCATGTACAATTTTCAGGTGCTCTTCATAAAGTGGGTGTTGACTGTATTTGACTTGATTGATGCAAAGGACCAACTTCGAGCTATCTATGGCTTCATCTTCAATTTTGTCACAGAAGAAAATCTGGTTTGTATATGAATGATCTATTCATTCTTGTAGTAAGATGTTTAACACAACCTGATGGCAGCAAGTCAGATCTACATACTAATCATGTATCTTTTAGTAACAGTATTTAAAACCAGAAATCCTGTCCAATCTGAAACAGAAATGGGCTGATATATTCTTGGTTTTACTGGCAAAGTAACTGCCAAAAATGTCATCCAGACATTTCAGTAAACCCGCTTCTTGGCCCCCAGTCCTTCAGTCTTCACTCTAAATTTTTGTTAGTTCACATATGAACAGCTGTCTGCTTGTTAGTGCTGTAAAGTGATTGCAGCACTGTAATGTGATCCATTGGAGAAGATGTGAAGTCATTGTGTATTGTCATGTTTTTTTCAGTGTCCTTTCATTTGCCATCTGTTATACCTTTTGACCAGAAAGGAAAGTGGTGAGTCACACATCTTCACATCTGAAATATGACCCACTTTTGTACTGCTGTTCCCTCTATTTGTCTTGTTTTAGTTTTCTCACCACTTCTGCAGGTATTAATGACTGCTTTTTTCCTCCTTGTAGTACAAATCTTCAGAGTCAGGAAGCTGCTGGAGCTACAGTCTAAACTGGTAAACATCCGGTTGATTAGGTGTCCTCTAGAGCCATTTGTCAAAGCTACTACATTATTTCAGTACATCTATTTGATAAATTACAGGATGGGGTTTTTCTCTGCACTGTGCACTTATTTACCCTTTCCATATCCTTGGTTATTGTTCTTTGCATTGTTAGGAGACATCAAAAACAAGCACAAAGACGTGTCATATTGAGTGTACTTATTTGTTCTTGTTTCTTCAGGGAAGGCAGCCGTTTCTCCTGTATCTACTGTCACTTTACAGAGTGTTTTGCCCGGAATTGGTGACACTCTCCATCCCGTCACGAATGAGGGTTTGTATATAAACTGTGCAGTTACCACGTTCTGCAGTTATAATACTGTATGAACTCCATCTCTAAGATATTAGTAACATTGTATGTTTCCTGTGTTTATACAGAGTGGGTTTAGGAACCACAATTCCCCATGGAAATCAGCATTGATTGCTGTCCAGAAGAAGAATGGCTCCCAAGTTTCCCCCACCATCAGTCTGCCCTTTATGACCAACTCCAGGAAAAGGGTATGGAGTCTAGCTGTCAGTTTTAGTTGTCAGATGTGGTGTTTATTGTTTTTGCAGTTACTACTGGTGATGGAAAGATGAAACTTTGTTGATGCATCGAAGCTTTCCAGCCATTTGAAGCAAAAAATGGTTCACATGTTGAAGCTTCAACTGACCTCGAAACCAACTAGTGGTGAAAATAAATTACCACAGGAATTTGTAGAAATAGACTTTGAAGCAGCGCAGCTCACCCTTATGTTTATTATTCAATAGGTTAATTAAACAACAGAGCATTTCTTCAAAATATGAAATGGATCCTATGTCATTTGCAATATTATTACTTATCTCCGCAATACATGACTTAAAAAAAATTGCAAGTGTCTGACATGTCACTGTGTAATTTTTCGCCTTCAGAAATATGAGTAAACAAACAAAAAATCTGCACATGACGCAGGACACATATATAGCCTATCTGAGGGACAGCTACAATGTTTTATGTGTGGTCCAGTAGGACAAATCATTTTGATACCAGTATGCATACCATTTAACTTGTTAGAAATTAACTCAAAATGGTCCCATACTGGGAATAAACTTCTGTCTTGGTACTAATGCCACGGCAATATAATGCAAACAATTGCACTGCAATGATTCCCAACACTACAAGTCCACAAACTTTGTGATCCCCATCTTCTCCCCTTATAGACAGTTTGAAACACATGCTCAAACATTCCACCAACTTCGAAGTGCTTCCTCAACCGGTAAGCCGAGATGAAGCTTCAAATGCAACACAAAGTTTCACTTTCCACTGCCCCGCTTAATTGACACATGCTTTGAAGCCTCAGTGTTCAGCCTGCCATCACAAATTAATACTGCTGCTTCTCAGTGAGAATTCAGCACCTCCACCCCACCATTCACCTGTGGGTAAAAACAGCTATCATTACCCCCACCACTCACTGTGCGAAATTAAAGTATATTTGCCAGGAATGATGTACCCAGAAGATGCCAAGCATAAGGTCTGCGCTAACGATTATTTTCATGATTGATGAATCATTTTGTTACTTTTTAAAATAATAATTCATTTTGTGACTTGTTAAACACACAAAATGGCATTCACTGTTTCTCAGAGGCCTTGGTAATGGCTTTAGCTTTTGTTTTGTCTGATACATAGTCTAAAGCCATAATGTGTTCTATTTTCAAACTTTTTTTTTAACAAAAATAATTAATAATGAAAATAATAGTTGAAGCCCTACTATTCACTAGTGTTAATTAGTCATGGTTTTGTCTTTTATTAGTTGACAAAATGAAACCGTATAAGATAGCCTAAGCCTGTCATGATTTATTTTTTTATTTTACAATGGGTTTTTTTCCCCCTCAGAAGCACCGCCACCTGGAAATTCCGAAACTGTGTTCTGTAGTCAATAAACCGGCTCAAACAGAGCCTTCCTTCAGCAGAAAGGTGGTCCCTTTTATGCAACTCAACTCCTTCACTGAGCTGCTGGAAAACCTGCACCGTATAGAGGTAATTCATCCTAGGGGCAAAACCAGTCTGAATTCCTGTGGGCTACAGAGACTTGGTCATCCATGCCCTTTTACTGACCTGTTTCTTCTCAGTCTTTCAGCTTTCACAGTTCAGCTATTAGTCCTGTAGCCCCGGCACACCTTCAGTGGGAAATGGAATGCATACCTATAATCATTTAAACAGAGAAGAGTAAGATGTGTGCCACTCTGTACTTGCCATTGGGATACTTAATCTCAGTCCATTTAAACTGTGATACAATGTTACAGCCACAGGGTGGTGCTGCGTCACCGGTAATTTTCTTTATACATTGTGCCAGGCCACTTCACAACTTTGTCAGAATTTTTAATCAGATTAGAGCATGAGCCAGGTTCATGAGCTCTGAACTTGTCATTTGTTTTAGACAGGCCATTGATCATTTCACAGTGGTTTATCTCTCCTGTGTCCTGAGTGTAATAACAGCAAATGTAATGCACTGGACAGGGGCCTCTCCATAAATGTCTATTTGCCCTGCAGATTCAGTGACCTGATAAAGTAATATCAATAATTTTAAATGCCTTGTGGACTTTTATATCATGCTGCATAAATTCACCTCTTTCATTGCCTGCAATGCCAACATGAGCAGTAAGGATTTTAGACTGCGATAGCATCAGCAGTGCTGTTTCAGCCAAGAAAGCTCTACTTCACTGTGTCTCAGGGAGCACAGATGAGTACAGTCAATCACACTCATAAAACTCTTGTCACACAAGGGCATTGACAAAGGATCATTGATTATTTCCTCATCAACTGCAGTCCTGTTGTCAAAAGCAGAATGGTGCCTCAGTTTAATGATAGGGTTGCTCCATAATTATCGAAGAGCTGAGTTGTATAGATTCACAGTCTGTCTTCTCTTCAGTTTAATTAATTTATTGTGCTGACAAAGTCTTCATATTGGGAGGCAGCTTTTCATGCACAATAGGGGACTGTATAAACTGTCAAGTGTGATGGAAGATGTGTTCCAGTGCAGGCATTATGGGGATTATGGGATACTGAAGAATTAGCTCAGTGATTGATTGGTGGCTCACTTAATGGTAACAAGTACATAAACATGACTTGAATTTTATTCTATAGTAGGTAAACAGATTGATTTGAAACTGACCTGAGACAAACAATCTCACTGATCAGCTTTTTTTAATGCAATATTTGACTTTGTTAAGAAAAGCTATGCTGCAAAATGTTTTTTCATTGCTTGTCTAGGTTTATGTATAATTGATTATTTTAGCCTCTGAGTCATACTTTTGTGCATGTGTTCCCTGTTTCTTCATTTTAACGTCACAAGCTACCCGCCCAGATGGGCTCACTGTTGGCATCCAGTATGGCACTGCATTACCTGGACTGTGTACAGGATGAGTCTGCCCTTCTACGCCTCAACTTCTGGCTAGGCTACACTCTTCATGAAGGTAAGATGTTGGAGAAATCGACTACAAAATGTTTGTGACATATTCTATTAGAAGGATGCATCCAAAGCAAAGCTGACCTTGAATTGACCCCCAACACTTTCCCTAGTTGTGATATCAAAGTGGTTCCATCAAAAAAGTGCTTGATGGAGATTGGGCAGGATGTCACTGTGTGAAGATGCAATATCAAAGTGGTTCCATCAGAAAAGTGCTTGAAGGAGACTGGGCAGGATGTCACTGTGTGAAGATGCAACACATGCAAAATGTGGTCTTTGTGTTCTCCTGACTTTTCACTAAATTCCCTTTTTTGCTTTTTTTGTTAGAATTTTTATTCAACAGTGATGGAGGAGCTTCTCAGGATTTAGATGAGGCTCAGCAGTTTTTGAACAAATTGCTGTTCACACAGGATTTTCTCCAGGTGAGCTGCACCTCACACCTGTCACACTATTTCCTCTCTTCATTAACCTGCAGCCACATGCTTAGTTGACACCTGCTGTAAAATGTCAAACACTGATTTCACATTCTACTTATTAAGTGCCTTTTCTCCATCAGGAGGGGTTTTCTGCTACAGAGGCTTTCCTCTACAAGTTTCTCAGGGTTTGGGATGGTTCTCTTCTCCGCCCACAGATCCTCAGTCTGCTGAGCAACATCCCTGTTGTCCCCAGTCTCAGTAAGTTTTGCTTCCACAATCCACCACTTTCATTTTCCATCTCTTCCTCCATATTCACTTTTCTTTCTTTGTCGATCTTCATCAACCCTACGTAAACACAATTTCTTTCCTTACCAAACTTGCTCTCCATTTGAATACAGTCAAAGCCATGTTCTCATGTAAATGTAGCCCACCATAATGTACCATATACTAGGAAATTTGATAGTGGCACTTTGAATTATTTAACTGGTACAACTGTAACCCTCTGTCTCCTTCACTTCAGAAATCGGGCGGCTTCTGTTTGAGCCCCTCATGCAGCTCTTCTTCACATCTTCAGTGTTTTTCAAGGTAGGCTTAACTCTGTCAATTAGAACGAGCCTGCTCCTGCTACTGTAGATAAGATACAGTAGAGCATAAAACACTGATTATGGGTTAACTGTATGCTTAGTGCTCTCCCTCGTTGTTGTGTGTGTCTGTAGTGTGGACTGATTGAGTGTCTAAACAACATGCTCTCGAAGTGGCTGTCCTGGCACACAGTGTATGCTCTGGAGGATGACTTGGACATCAGCCTCAACAGCCACACCTCCATGTGAGTCTCATATCTACTTCCTACTACTTGTGTATGCCCTGAGCATAAACAAATAATATACTTGAAACACTTGAACTTGAGAACATAAAGGTTATGTCTCTTGACATGACTCTTTTACCTTCAGTTTATGAACCATCCTCATATCTAATCAGTTCTTATTGATGTCTCAGTTTTATTTACTGTAAAGAAAAAAAATCACGTCTCATTGTAGACCTGTTGACTTATCCATTTATGTTCTAAAAATTAAACTTAATAGTTAATTAGTAATTTTAGTTATATAATTTTGAGTCAAGCATTTTTGCATAATTTTGGATTATCTTATTCTATCAAATACATTTTTTGTTTGAAACTCCACGCTAGTCTGTCCAGTAAGTCTGTTTTAGCTTTAATTTAAACCAGTCTTTGTCCACTAGCATCCAAAGCAGCTGATGTAAAAGTTTGTATTGGCATAATTTCCCTTTTAGTCTTGAGCCCATTTATTCATAAAATTGTCTAATTGTAATTTGTTTGAAAACAAATGTCCATTTAAATGATTTTCCAGCTTCCAAATTAAAGAGTGGAGTTAGTGTCAGTTATGTTTAAATACCTGGGTATCATCAGCATCGAGTCCTCACATGTGCAATCCCACAATAAACGATCTGGCAAGTGGAAACATCCATTTTTAATCACTGCCATTTCCACACATGCATTTGGTATTTACCCACAATCCTCTCAGAAATCAGATGTAGAAACCATTTATTATGGGTTTGCATACTCTGTCTCACATCAGTCTCCATTCAGTGTTTGTCATTTGTAATATAATGAGTTGCCACTTTTGGGAGCTCATTACATTACAAATTACATTACATTACATTGCTGTCAGAGATGTGACTGACAGTGTTCGAAGGCTAAATCGGCTAACTGCGGTTACAACATAGCACTAAGTGCTAGTCCTCTGATTAGAGCGCGTCTGTGACTCTCTGTTCTGCCCTCTCTCCAGAAACATGACCCTGTCAGAGTTCAAGGATTCAGTGATGGAGCTGGTTCATTTTGTGGGTCGGCTGGCCTCTGTGGGCCTTCAGCTTGAGAGCTACCACTCTCTCCTCCTCAGCTTCATCCTGGACTTCTATGAGACGGTAAATGATCTGATGCTAATGACTGAATCTGCTTTATGAATTTGTCAGGCAAGACACAACATGTGCTTGGGCGTTGGAAGTGTTTCTAAATAACAGGCATGGGAATTTGCCAGGGATCTGTAACCAACATGTTTTGGGGAGGGCCTTATTGTGTTTTGTGGATTTTGTTATATCAGCTTTTTTTTTAATCAAATGTGTCCACTCTGAATACCATGCAAGAAAAGATATTCTTTGTATTCAAATTTGTAGTGAATACTCTTATGCCTGTATTTTAAGCATTAATGAGGTGGGAGAGTTTGCTAATTGATTTGTTATATGTTGTGAAATCATTAAGTGGACAAAATAAAAAGGTCATTTCAATTTAAGGATAGTACTGATTGCAGTATAGATGTACTAGAGATACAGTATAATCTACAATGGATTATCTACTCTTATACTAATTGCAGTATAGATGTACTAGAGATATAATCTACAATGGATTATCTACTCTTCAGTCTTAGCCCTCTGTGAGTGTTTTTTACATATTTCTCTCTGCTTCCAGGTGTGTGACACGTTTGTAAAATATGAGCTTCCCCTCATAGTGATGCCCCCAGCTGGGGTTTTTTACCCAGCGCTTTTTGCCACTGAACCTGTCAGCGTGGACCGACTGGCCTACATCATGTACCGGTGAGAACCCTTTATCTCCTCATATGCCCGCCACTGGCTTATCTCAGTGCATATACATCTGCTATACGGTTAATGTAGAATGTCAAATGCTCCCACATATTTTATCTGGAACCAAATGGCTTCATTGCATCTGTACATTACTATATCATGCATGATAATGATAGGCTAAGAGGCAATATACTTAAATCGTCTTCTTTTTATGCAGAATTCAAACATCATTTCTATCTCCAGGCTTTAATAGCACAAATCCTTAGTGTTGGCTAATTGACTGCACTCCAGGGTTCTGAAATAATTTTATCGAAGCTGAGTGTAGAGTTGCCATGGCAAAAGAAAGTCGGAATGAAAGTGCATGATATATATTTTTTGGTAGACCACAGAGAACAAGCTGTTTTGCAGTAATTCATGATCTCAAAGGTCACTGCTCTCTCACTGTCTTTTTTGTTCAGGTACAAGGTGAACTTGACATCAGCCAAACTTGACATCAAACAAAAAATGGTAAAAACTTTTGCTGCTTTTTTCCTTCTGTAAATGAAATGTGCTGTTTGCAAGATTACATTTTGGACCATTGTACCAAGTTCTAGATGATGTGGAACAAGTTCCTTTCGTATTAGCTGTTGGTTTGAGAAGAAGAGATGCATACACTATATACACTTTGATTGTAGTACTTCTTACATTTATACTTTAGCTATGTAGACGCTGCACTTCTCAAAAGCGACTTGCTGTTTGTACACAACTTTTCTTTACTGTGATAGTTTTTAAAAATAGATTTTTCATAACTCAGTCCAGCTTTTTAGGAATTCACAAGCACAGCTCATAATCCTTATCACCCTCCCAGATGAGGATTTAAAAAATTGTTGGTTTTAATATAGCTGCCACTGCAAGCTATGAATGTAGAAGTAAGTATCAGGCAGCAAGTACATCCATCCATCCATCCATTTTCCTCCGCTTATCCGGGACCGGATCGCGGGGGCAGCAGTCTAAGCAAAGATGCCCAGACTTCCCTCTCTCCAGACACTTCCTCCAGCTCCTCCGCGGGAATGTCAAGGCGTTCCCA